AGGGGCACAGTTTTGGAGGTTTGTGTTTTTACACAAATCACCAATCAATCATTGTTAGACCACCATTAGATGATGATTTCAAATGTGTAAAAACACAAACCTCCGAAACTGTGCCCCAAGATATCGTAACAGTGCTCACTAGTGACTAGCTTCGTGAGGAAATTCTCGGAGTTCTAGTTGAGAAGACGACCAATGGAGTTCAACCCTGTCGGGTGTAGGTAGGCAGTAACTACCAAAGACAAATGGGTGAGGTCGCGTAAAATCCGTAGATCAATTAGAGTTAGACAGGAACACCGTTGGATGCCGACCCAGTGATCCGATGGTTAGGCGTTGGCGCTCAATACCGAAGGTGCCGGGTTCGAATCCTGAGGAGTGCAGGAGTCGTGGATACGCACTGCTGATGAGTCCCATACCAGGACGAAATAGCCGTCCAGTGCTTCCAGGTTTCTAATGGTGGTCTAACAATAATTGGTTGATGACCTCTGCATTTGTCTTTCTAAACTTATCTCACTGATTTAGACTTCCTGAATATTATCTTCAAATCCTTATCTTCTCTATTAGCAGTAATACTTCTACTATCTCTACCACTATGGGATTTGAATTGACAATTGTGTCTCTGAGCTAATGTATTATGGCAACATGAACTGATGTACTTATGTACGAAGTTCTACCTTGTAACTGACTGACTGACTTCTAGTTTGTCATTTTACCTTAAACCCCCCATGAACTTCCAACTATTGTCGTCACCATTTCCCGTTTTTGGCTGCAAAGTGCCATGTATATATATATATATATATATATATATATATATATATATATATATATATACGGTTTGAACAATTCATATAGCATTATGTTGTTTTAATCTATTAATTTTTTTTTCCAGTTAATTCAAATGGATGAATTAATGCAAGAAGAACAACGACTAAGACGTGCTATCTCACAACGTGATGGTCTTTTAGGCATTTTACTACATCAAACTATTGATCATAATCCAGAGAAACCAGTTCCTATTCCAAAAGATTTGAAGTTGACATCATTGAAAATTGATGAACAATCAAGTATTTGACTTGTTTTTTCTACCAAAACCTTCACTGTATTATTGTACATAATTAACTAACTAAAATGCATTGATTTCTTTTTTTGTATAAAATTTCTCTTCCATTGACTTCTCTCTGATTGATTTCTTCTTTTTTTTTTCTGAAAAGATAAATTTACTTGTTTGCTGTATTAATATCATTCTGTTTATTCTTTTTTTGTCTTGTGTCTGCCCTAGTGGCTATTCAAAATTCAATGTTTTCTTATTTTTGCGAATAATGATAATGTCACAATAGTGACTGTTGAGAATGTTTGGGTGAAGCTATTTTTACAGCGACAGCACATTGTAGTTATCCAAATCGATGTGATGTAAATACTGGGTCTGGCTAGTTTGTGAACAGAATCACATTGAAAATGTTTTAAGCTAATTTACCCGACCGTTAACTGCTACCTTGATATGGTGGTCGGGCTTGCCTATCGTGATAACCTAACCGAGCTATGCTGGCTGGAACTTATGTTCCTGAAGGTTCTACCATGCCAGACAGGTCGATTAGAGAACGATGAGACTAAAGGCAGCTACTCAAGGTCTGAGGGCAAAGTCGTACTACTGGCTGCAGAGGCGTGTGACAGCAGTAAGGTGTTTCCCTCGGATAACCAGCATCTGCAGCGATGCTGCTGCTGCTCACAAGGAAGGAAGGGTTAGAAAAGGTTGATCATAAGAATGTCACACCTCACCCTAACTCACGGATTTCCGTCTCCGTCGGTAAGGGCTGCCAATTAAGGGCTTTTAATAGCGGAGCTAACACTCAAAAATCCTTTCATAAAAAGGCCGTGCGTGACCGGCCTCAAGCAGTTGTCCGTCGGACACTGAAGTCACGCACCCAGGTCTCCAAGACCAACACTAATCCATCTTCCTTTTCAGGTCCCTCAAGAAACAACCTTCCACGGTGTGGGCAGCCGGGAACTGACAACCACCCTGTTACCCGTAACAGCACTTGCGACCAAATTGGTTACAATCAGTTCTAGAGCTAGTTCCTGAAATATTATTAATTGATTCAGGAAAATCTGTACCATTAGCCTTTTCAATACAATCCATCATATCATGGTATAATTACATTGTTACGTATATCAATTATTGTCATCAAGATAGACACTTAATATATTGTAACTGGAATGAAATGGGTGCGAAAGTTTTCTAATTGTTTTCCATTATGTTGTCATCCCTAGTTTAGATTGAATAGTTTACTAATCATGCAAATTACTGTGTTAAGATGATATAAAGTGATGCGTTTTTCAGATTCTTCTATATCCAATTTATACCAACTCAGGAATTAGGCGAAGTCTGATTCATAGTTTGCATGTAAGCTAGCTATACATTATTGATTAGTACTATATGGTTCAATTAGGGAAGATGATGAACATTGACTCAAAACTAATGGTTTATTAGGGCTCATGGAAACAGGGCATACAAACCTGTGTTGGTCACTGACGTTTAATGGACGATAGCTGATGATGGTTGGTTTTCTTGTGGACTAAACTTTGAGATCAAAAGCTCAGAGTGTCGTTCCCTAGGATAAATACCTGTCTCAACCTGGTGAAGAAAATTTCCAATGTAAAGTCAATTATAATAATAAACTAACTCTCCTTTGATAGTTTATGAATCAATTTGACTAAGTGTCATTAGTCATTCATAGTTTGTTTACGTAGTGCTTGTTGTTATTCCTTTTGAAGTAAGTCACTAGGGCCGATAGGTCAGTATTCACCTTTTTCCTTGTTAGATGTTGTCTATCGAATGGGTAGAACAGCATTTATGCGATTAAAATACGGTATTGAACAATTGCGTATTTCTAATCTACTGTATAAACCAATCCATCTGTTTGCTAGACTGGGATAGTTTCACAAGACCAATTTGTCGAAACTGGCTGTATTATAGGGGTTCATCAAATGTACATCTACATAGTTTTTTAGAGTAAAATGCAGTTTGGATACTTGTACGTAACAAATATGCTCGACTAATGCTGTAATTCAACTTTCTCATTTGTGAAAGCTATCATCATTAATATGAACGAGAGTTTACTACGACGCTAATGAACTGAACTTTGAGTTGAAAAAAAAACATTACCGCTGTATAATAGACATAACTAACATTCAAAATCGGTCTAAACTTTTCCTGTGTGCTACTACTTGGGAAGAGAAAAATAACTGACTGCACTTGGAAACTGCTTTAAAGAAAGCCTAGATATAAACTTGTTGTCATGACAATCTGTCTACGTGGAAACGCATACCAGACCGAACTCATGTGTCGAAAATGCTACAGTGCAAAAGAAAACCTCTTTTTCTATCTGCACTTCAAAGATGAAATTACTGGAACTAATAACCATTTCATTGAAGACTGCATACCCAACAGCAAGACTTCCGACATTATATGAAACGAATCGTTCACTCGAACAAACAAAATTCGGCATGTCTGTGACGTGTATACTAATACGTCGGGTCTACACTACCTGTCCTAGCTAGCTATTGAACAAACTAATTGATCTTTTCGTAGCAAGTTATTATTCACACACACTTTGACCTTGCCAATTGTTTTGCAAATAACCTGGGTTGTTTCTATATGGATGTGTGTGTGCATTATTTGCTTTGCTTATCACGTGTCTGACTATATACTTATTCATGTGTCATAGCATTGTGGGGTTGTTGTGACGATTATTAAGTTCATTATTGAAACCATAAGTCGACCATTAGAAACCTGGACGGCCGTTTTGTCCTGGTATGGGACTCCTCAGCAGTGCGCATCCACGACTCCTGCAACCCGCAGGATTCGAACCCAGGACCTTCGGTATTGTGTGCGAACACCCTAACCGTTAGACCACTGAGCCGGTATCTAGCGGTGTTAATGTCTAACTTGATCAAATTCACGGAGTTGAGCAACCTCATACACTGTATACATCCGAACAGGTTTGAACTTCACTGGTCACGACTTCCTACTAGAACTCGGAGAAGATTCCTCACCAAGCTAGTCCCATACCAGGACGAAACGGCCGTCCAGTGCTTCCAGGTTTCTAATGGTGGTCTAAAATTGATCGATTCATGGTTTCAATAATAAATCATAACATTGAGTTGGCCCGCTTACCTTCATCGCCTTCCTTTGCGCTTCACATTTTAATGTCTATCTGCTTACGCCAATGTATGAAACAAATTCAACTACAAAACCGTATTAAGCTGTTAATTAATGCTGTCGCACATATTGGGTTTGCCTAAGAATGATGATAAACGGAAATTAGATGAAAGATTTACTTTCATAGCATATTAAATTGTTTATAAAAATCGGAATCAGATTACTGGCCACTAAAAAAGTCCACTTTTCTCAGTACCTTCAATTGCATTTACCGATTTACATCTACTTGCCAAAGTACATACATTGGAAGAAGTGATAGCACGTTCCTAAAAAATTGTGACTGAAACGTGCAGAGACTAATGAGTGCGATAACCCAGCATTCAAGCGATACTAGACACATCGTTGACAATTTTCATCATATCAACAGACAAAAAAACGCTGCGTCTCTTCGCTTGCCGAATCAGTAGCAACTCAAACATGATCTATGTGTCCAAAAAGAGACGATGATCAATTTATCGCTACCTTGGTAATATTTTATTCCTTATTAAAACAATACAGATATAAGTGAACAGTATCGTCATCAGGCTTTATACTCTAATATACATGAATATTTATATGAAGATGTTAAACCATTCAAGGCAATTTGAGTCAATTTCCACAATGAAATGAAATAGATTACGTAACTATGCATAAGAGGCAAAAGTACAAGTTGATAGTAGGAAGACAGGTGTGTACTGATAGAAGTAAGAAAAATAAAATACGATAATAAAAGTTTTTGTCAATAGTTCAGCATCGCAGATATTAGGTCAAACGTGGATAAATAAATTTAAAACAATGTGTTGTTTTAATTTTCACAATGGGAATCTTTAATCTTCGTTATTGCCATTATATTCTTTAATTTGTTA